AGACATCTTATTTTAAAAAGTTAAGAGAGGAATGTGATTTAAAGGCAGCCTAAACAATATATTAAGAAGCTGTCTAAATAAATAAATAAATAAATAAATAAATAAATAAATAAATAAATAAATGTATGTCCTGGCAGAGCATGATGGTGCCACACACTTTTGATCCCAGCACTCAGGAAGCAGAAGCAGTCAGCTCTCTGAGTTCAATGCCAGCCTGGTCTACAGAGCAAGTTCCAGAACAGCCAGGGTTACACAGAGAAACCCTGTCTCAAAAACAACGTCCTGAACTAGCAACAAGAATCCAGGGCATATATATGTGCTTGGTTAGAACTCTAAAACTATTAGAATAGCCCACTAGACTGCTTTGCTGCTAGCTGTCATCCTGCTCCATCAAGCCTCAAAATTTAGACACAGATCAGTGGTTCTCAACCTTCCTCATGCTGTGACCTTTTAATACAGTTTTCCATGTTGTGGTGACCCCCGACCATAAAATTATTTTTGTTGCAACTTCATAACTAATTTTGCTACCATTATGAAGCTAGAGGTTTGTTGAAGGGATCAGGACCCACAAGTTGAGAGCCACTGCGGTAGATGTAATTAGATATAGTCGTGGATCCAGGAGACGGGATGAGGGCACAACATTGACCTCATCAAGTGTTGAACACTGAGGGCATGGGAACCCATAGACTCATTGTCTCTGTGCTGAGGCCACAGAAATTGACTTCAGGCACAAGTACTCGCTGACACGCTCAGAAGATGCTGATGGTCTTTAGAACCCCATCTGAGGAACACTGAGTTAGCATTTAAAGTCACATTGCCTTGTGACGAGGATAATTACACATCAGCACGTTCTGTGTAGACTCTGTATCATTCATTTTCCAATGCAGTCATTTAGGGTGTCCCATATAAACATGCTCATGTGTGCATACACATGTCACACAGCACCAATCTAAGACAGGCGCAGGAGCAATTTGGGGTTTTGAAGAAGGCAGCCTGTAGGGAGAGGAAGAGACCATCCACACACTCCAGAGAAAATGGCTCAAGTCACATGGCCTCTCAGTTTTTCCTGGCTCAGAGTGTTTACTCCCTCCCCTAGTCCCCAGCCGCTTTGGGATTCTCCAGCACATCTAACTACAGGAAAGTTACAATGATACAAAATGAATGTGAAAAGGCCTCACAAAACCTCCAGTCTGCAATAGCAGGCGATTTGGCTTCTGCTGAAAAGAAAATTGATACCAAGTTGTTCTTAGCTGCTTGCCAAATGCATTGCCTTTTCCTCGTGCCTGGGGCACCAGAAAAGGGAACAAGAACTCAGGCTGTGTTTATATCTCTGCCTGGAAACTAGAAACCTCTCCCAGTTCCATCTTTTAAGGCGAACCCCAGTCAATTAGCCTTCTGTCCAATAGCCCCCCAGAGCCTCAGCTCACCTGTGCACCTATTCCACGATAAATAGGTTGTCTTGCTTCACTTTCAGAAGCACATTCTAATAGAACAGGTCTATAATCCCAGGGGCTAGGGAGGCTGAGGCTGGAGGATCATAAATTCAAGCCCAGCTTGGGCAGACAATTTAGGGAGAGCCTGTTATAAAATAGAAGTTATAAAATGGCGAGAATACAGTTCAGGAGAACACTTAGTTGCCTAGCTTATGTAAAGTCAAGCATATGTGAGAGCCTGTGTCAAGAAAGAGAAGACAGGATGCTGGACAGTGATTGGACGGTGATGGCACATGCCTTTAATCTGAGCACTCAGGATGCAGCCTGGTCTACCAGAGCTAGTTCCAGGACAAGCTCCAAAGCTACAGAGAAACCCTGTCTCAAAAAACCAAGAGAGAGAGAAAGAGAGAGAGAGAGAGAGAGAGAGAGAGAAGAGAGAGAGAGAGAGAGAGAGAGAGAGAGAGAGAGAGAGAGAGAGAACAGGAGATGAGGCAGAAGCTACCTGTGCATCTTCTGTGTTAGCTTTCTGAAAGGAGGACGAGCTTGTTTTAGTCTATAATCCCTTGACCCCGCCACACTGAGCCTGAAGCAAGAAGACACCCCAGTGTCTTTCTGCCAAGCCATGTCTCATATTAGCCTATTTAGCTAAAAAACAGTGTTACAGCTTCATGATTCAGTCATCTCTCTGTCACACCGCGAACTGGGGATCAGGCTTCCAACATGAGCTTTGGGGCCTGCTTCTGCCCAAACCACAATGCTTTCCCCTCTCCTTTCCACTTAGAAAATTGGAGCTAAGAATCCATGTGCCACCTACATGGGGCAAAAAAAAAAAAACACTTCTAAATGTCTATGTACTAGGTCTACACCAAGGGGATACTCCTGTGTTGGTTCTTTTCTCAAATCCTGAAGTGTTCACTGTTTTCATACCCATGCTCAGTGAAATTTCATATGAAGGAAAAGCGTTCAAGATCTGTCAGGACTCAAAACATAGGGCCAGAGAGATGGTTCAGCAGATGAAAGCACCTGCTTTACAAACTTGAGGCCTGGGATTGAGTCCTGGAGCCATATAAACCAGCTGAATGTGGTGGCACACACCTGCAATCCTGGTGCTCCTATTGTATGATGAGAGGCGGGAGCAGGAGGGTCTCTTGGAATCTCTTGCTAGCCTGGAATATGCAATACAAGAATAACATGAGAGACCTTGCCTCAGCAAGAAGGAAGAGAGGCCTGACTCCAAAATTGTCCTCTGACTTCCATGCATATGTCTTGACATTCAAACACCTGTAAAAACATAGACACACATGCACCCACACACACACACATTAATAAGACAAAATAAAGGGTTGTAGGAATTTAAAGGCTTCACTTGTAGATTGCTATTAAGAATTGAAATCAAAATAAGCTATATTGGACATATACCTAAACTGGGTTAGCCCACTGAAAACTTAACAGATCCTTGTTCAAAAATAATGAATTAAGTCAAATTACATGCTTTCTAGACATGAGGCCCTTCTGTGTGTATGGTCCTGTGCAGCTGCACAGACCATAAGACCCAGGAATGAACCCTGTTTTGCTCTGATACCCCTCAAAGGTGAACAACTTAAAACACACTCAAAAGACCCAGTCTTTTGGTTTGGGCCAGGATTTGGTGCCATAGCTACAATATGTAAGAACATGTCTCATTGAGGCTAGGCAAGGGCCATGTGCTAAACTCAGATAATGCTCAGAGTACTCTAGAGAAATAGAGTGAGCCCCCAAGTCCAGTGGATACATCTACCAAACACTTCCTTACCTGAGGCATAGGGAGCTTTGCAGTAGAAGTGGCAGGATGATTACAGGAGCCAGAGGATCAGGGGTTTTCTGTGAGACTGTGTCTCTACTAATGTCAGAAGCCATACCTATAAAGTCTCACTGTATAGCCAAGACTGGCCTAGAACTATCTCTGTAGACCAGGCTGGCCTTGAACTCAGAGATCCACCTGTCTCTGCTTCCTGAGTGCTGGAATAGAAGTGTGCACCACCATGCCTAGCTTATATTTTCTTCTAACAATTTGCTATGTCAAATTAGATAAAGAAATTCTGGCTAGAAAAGGAGGCATTGAGCTAAAGTCCTCTAGCTAGGAAGTGACCAGGTTAGGATTCAGATGTGCCTGGTCTAACCTCGGATTCCTCACTCGTGGGTCACCAGACACCATTATTGGAGTCACTTTAGGAGAATACATTTAATATTTCCCAGGCCCACACTGACCTACAGAACGATACAGAGCATCTGTGTCCTTCAGATAGTCTACATGTTACCTGGAAGCTTCTAGAATGTCTATGTGGAATTCCAACAACCTCATAATACCAAGTGTGGCAGACAAGTTCTGTCTCCTCTCCAGTGATCTGTGTCTCCTATTGTTCATGCTTGTCATGGCACAGATTAGACATACTGGGTGGTATGAACAACAGGAATCATTTCTCACATTTCCAGAGCCTGGACTCCTCTGATGACGATGACCAAGCCCCTTCAGATTCTGGTGGAATATTCTTCCTGGCTTGAGGATGACTGCCGCCATCTCAGGGATGTCCTGGTGTGACATTCCTTGGTACATGCAAATGAAGAAAAACTTGGTGGCATCTTTTCTTTAAAATGACACTAATCCTATTGGATCAGGGCCTCGCCCTTCCTTCCTCAGTTAACCTTTAGTACTTCCTTGAAGCAGCATCTTCAAATACAGTCGTTCAAACTGAATGTTGGGAATTATTCAGTTGACAATATCCTTGTTCTGTTGAAGTGGTATGTTACGGGATATATGATAACACTGTGAACCCCGAGTTTGTGTTTAGGCTAACTAAATAAAATCAACCTTGGTTCAGGAGGTGGAGCTAGCGACTAGTTAACAGAAAGAAATCACAGAGTCAGAGGTCAGAGGGTATCTGGAAGATGAATAGAGATGCCCAGAAAGTAGTAGGGAGGGGCTTTGAGTGTGGCTGGTACTCTTTGGTTTGGCAGAGTAGAAGGAAGCTCTCTTTCAGAGATTGTAGCTAAGAGGGAAGGCCAGCTAGTTATTCCTCAACTTGAGCTAGTGGGTTTCCAGCCTCTTATTCCTGAATATTATTGGTAAATAGAATGATATAAATTTATTTAAATCTACATTTGGTGGCAGGGCAGGAGAGCGGGACATAAGAGCAGGTCAGTGACTTCAGAGCCGCCATTGCTGGAAAAACAATGGTACTTGCCACCACTAGCTTTAAGCAATAGTGACTGACGAAGGGGAGGAGATGTTACCCTATGTGTATGCCAGAGTATATGAAACACTACTGTGAAGTGTGTTACCACATTCTAGTCTATAGTACATCTTATTTGCATGCTTGCTCTAGAAGTTTTCTTTGATGGTTTATTGAAGAACGTGGCCATGTTGGAAAAGAAATGAGTGTCCTCAATGAACTTACAGTACCTTCCAGCCCAAGGACATCAGGAAACTGAAGCTCTCTCCTACAGCCACAGGGAAACTGAAATCCGCCAACAGCATGACTGAACACGTAAGTTAAGTCTTCCTCCATTAAAGTGGATTCTTCCCCAGTGGTCTGTTTCTTAACGCTATAACAAAATACCTGAGATTAGGTAATCTGTAAGGGTAAAAATAGGTTTATTTCAGTTCTGGAGGCCGTGGGGTCCAAGAGCAGGATGCCAGGACCTACTTGACACCTGGGGAAAGCATTGTTGCTGCTCAGAACATGGCAGAGCGTATTACATCATCCCACAGAATCACCAGTACATCATAGGCCGCCACCTTTATGACCTCAGGTAATTTTAATTACATTATCAAGGCATGATCTCTAAGTAACCTGTGACTGGTGGATTAAAGTTCCAGTGTATGAAGTTTCGAGAGATGCATGGAAACCATTAAATTAGTAGGAGATCTAGTTCTGGGAGGAGACGCCACGGCCATGGCAACTCGTAAAAAGGAAAGCACTTCTGGGGGGCTGACAGCTTCAGAGATTCTGAGTCCGTTATCATCACAGCAGAAGCATGGTGGCACACAGGCAGACATGGTGTAGAGAGGAGCTGAGAGTTCTACAGCCAGATCTGCAGGCAACAGGGAGAGAGAGAGAACTGGCCTGGCTTGGGTTTTCGAAATCTTGAAGTCCACCCTCAGTGACACACTTCCTCCTACAGGGCCACACCTGATCCAACAATGCCACGTGTACTCCAACAAGGTACTGTTTCCTAATCCTTCTCAAGCAGTGCCACTCTGATGACTAAGCAGTCAAATACTTGAGCCGACGGGGACCATTCTATTTATTTGTCTATTTGTTTGTTTATATTTTAATCAGTGTGTGTTAGTGTTTTGACATGGGTGCTGAGTTATCTGGAACTGGAGTTATATAGACAGTTGTGAACTTCCATGTGGGTGCTGGGAATTGAACCTAGGTCTTCTTCTACTACTGAGCCATCTCTCCAGCCCCCATATGGGGGCCATTCTTATTCAAACCACCACATTCCACTCACTGGCCCCCATAGGCTTATAAACCTTATTACAATACAAAATATATTTAGTCCAACTTCAAAAGTCCCCATAGTCTTTCACAGTCTCAAGAAAACTTATAAATCCAAAGTTCAAAGTCCCTCCTGAGAGTCAAGGACGCTCTCTTAACTCTAACCTCAAGCAAATCAAAATAAATAGATGACAACATACAATGGCACAGGATATGTATTACTGCCATTCCTTAGGGGAGGAATTGGAGCATAGTGAGGAATATTGGACAGAAACAAGATTGAAAACCAGCTGGGCAAACTCCAAATTCTGAATCTCCACGTCTTCTGTCAAAGCGTTCCTCAGATCTCCAACTCCTTTCAGCTGTTTACTGAAACACACTTCTCTCTTTTGAGCTGGCTCCACAGCTTGTCTACTGTTCTTCTTGGGCATCTTAGGTGTTTGCAACATCTTGGGGTCCCCACTGAAATTCAGGCTTCACCTGGATTTCACAGCTTCACGCAATGACTTCCAGAACCTCCATGTAGGACACTCCTGACACCCACCTGGCCTCCATGGCTTTCCTTAACCATTGAGAAAGACTCCACAACTCCTTTCCTGTATCCTTGATTCTAAAGCCAGAACTATGTGGCTGAAGCTACCAAGTTCTGCTTTTGCTGAGGCTGGAATGTGGCCCCCTCATTCAAATTCATTTGCATCAGCTTTCTGGTTTTGATGGTTTCCTTCACTACTTAAACTTTTCTTTCATTCCTTTTTTGGGGTCTTGCCCTGAGATCACCACTCCCTTTATTCCACTTAGCACCAGGCTTTTCCTTTTATCTCCTTGAGCAGCACAGGATTTAGCTTCTTTACACTCCTGAAGCTCCTTTTTTCCTCAAACATTTTGTATTTTTCCTTGGCTCAGCTTGTTAACCACAGGACATTGTCAATACCAAGCTTCTTTTAAGTCTTCTCTGCTGCTGCCATTAATCCAAAACTCTTCGATTAGCCTCAGGCAGATTTATTTAGACAGTGGCAAAAGCAGCCACACTCTTTGCCAGAACATCACAAGGATGGTTTCTAGGTCGCTTACTATTCTTCCTGTTTGAAATTCTTGAGTTGGACCATGGGCCATCATAGTCAGTGTTTCTCCCAGAACTGTCTTCCACACTCCCTAGTGTGGTCCATTAAACCCGACTTAGAGTGTTCTATAGTTTTCCTAAGTCAAAGTCCACATTCCACCAACAAGCAGCATGGTCAGGCCTGTCACAGCAATACGCCACTCCCAGTACCAACTCCTGTCCTAGTTGGTGTTCCATTGCTGTGCAGAGACGCCATGACCACAGCAACTCTTATAAAGAAAACATTTAATGTGGTTCCAGAGGTTCACTCCGTTACCATCATGCCAGGGAGCATGGTGGCATGAAGGCAGGCACGGTACTGGAGCAGTAACCAGAGTTCTACATCTAGATCTGAAGGAGCGGGGAGAGAGAGACACTAAGCCTGGCTTAGGCTTTTGAAACTTCAAAGCCTGCCCCCAGGGACGTGCTTACTTCAACAAGGTCACACTTGCTTCAGCAAGGCCTCACCTCCTAATCCTTCTCAAGTAGTGCCACTCACTCCTGATGACTAAGCGGTCAAATATATGAGCCTATGGGGGCCATTCGTGTTCAAATATATGAGCCTATAGGGGCCATTCGTGTTCAAACTGCCTCAGAAACCAAAACACTATTAGAACTCCAGATGTGAATACATTCTGGCCAACACCTTAATGCCCCCTGTGAGATTCTGATCAGAAGATTCAGCTAAGCTCATGAGATAATGTGTGCTGGTTTAAGCTAATAAATTATGATTTGCTCTACAGCCTCGCAGCCTCCATTTACAGAACTGCATGGATGAGTTCTCATTTTTAAACTATCTAGAAATAACTTACATGCTTACCAAGCGTGACAAGGGGCATGTGTCAAACTGCCTGCTTTTAAAAAGGGCTTCTTCATTTCTTGCTCATAAAAAGTAATAGATGTTCATTGTAGAAAATTTGGAAACACACCAGAAAGAAAATTAAAATTACTGGGAATAATTTTTCTGCCCCCTCAGATAACCACAGATAACACATTGGCAAACAGCCTTCCCCAACTTGGTCCCATGCAGAGAGCAGGATAAGGTTACACACAGGGAACACTCTGTACAGCCTGTTTTGTAACTTGCTCTTTCCATAATGTCAGCCCACATTTTCTAAAGAATTTAAAGTGTTGGGGGGCATGTGCAGTCACTCCTGACATTTTGAGGCATTGCCAGACCTCACTTTTGATGACCTCAGGTTTTCTTGCTTCTGGATTTAGCTAAGGAGCCTCATAAGGACACCGAACAGAGAAGGGAGGACATGCCCAAGGCTAGATAACCTGTTGGTACCCAGAGATCTCTCCCTCTCCAAATTCCTACTAACATTGCAGCTTACCTGCAGTTTTCTCAAAGCCCACACTATGCCCAGAAGCTGTGAACCTTGGAGTTATTCTTGGAGTTTGGCTTTTATAAAGCCACAGCCTTACTTCAGTCAAGGAAGGTCAGAGGAAGCCAGTGCCCTTTTGTCTGAAAGCTGCCCATGCACGAGGCCTGGGCCTCCAGAGAAGTAGAAGTTTGCTGACTTGCAGCATCGCAGCAGCACATGCAGGGCTGAAGTGTGAATGGGTAGATGATAGGGAAGAGGGGGAAGGAAGGCAGCAGGAACTGTTTATTTGATACGTTTCCACTAAGCCTGTGAACAGTTGTGCTAGTTAAGGGAGCTATAGCAAAAGATAAGCAGGACATGCTGCCCCACACTTGTGGTCCCAGCACTCTGAGACTGAGGCAGGAAGGATGCCGTGAGTTCAAGGCAACTGTGTGCTATGGGGTGAGACAAGAGAGACACGCACTAGGGGAGAAGGTAGAGGAGAGACGAGGAAGAAAAAAAAGAGGAGAAGGATGCTGGATGGTGGTGGCATTCTTTAATCTCAGGACTCAGGAAGCACATGGTTCTCTGAGTTTGAGACTACAGAGTGAGTTCCAGGACAGCCAGGGATACACAGAGAAACCTTGTCTCAGGAAGGGGTGGGCAATCCAAACAGTCAAACAATACTTCTATGCTGAGTGAGACACAATATACTGATGTTAGTTTTGTAATGAAAAATGTCTAGCAAAGACTTTTAAAAGATGTTTGAGGGCTGGGGAGATGGTTCAGTAGGTAAAAGGGCTTTTTATACCTGAGTTTAACCCCCTGGTACCTATGGTAGAAGGAGAGAACCAATTCCCAAAAGTCATCCTCTGACCTCCATATACACCTTAGTATACACACATTCATGTGGACATATGCAGGCACCTGCTAATAAAATCTTTAAAATAAAAATTTCAAAAACATTTGAGTTAAACACTTACTAACTGTGTATGTTGCAATTGTTTACTGCTACATAAAAAGCTACTCCAAAAACTTACCATAAAGTGACAGCCATTTACTGTACTGGGTAAGCTTTGCTGTAATGGTACCTGAGGTAAATTACCTTGAACACAGGAAAGGTTTTGTTTGGCGCACCATTCTGAAGGTTTTGGTCCATAGCTGAATGGTTCTGTTGCTTGGGTCTATGTAACATAGTGCATCCTGGCAAGAACAGAGGACAGTAGAGGTCCGTTCAGCTCATAGAATCGAACAGGGAACAGAAGAGAGACTAGAGTCCCATTATCCACTTCTAGGGCATATCCCGCAGTTGACCTAAGATCTCCCACTAGGCGCCATCTCTTAAGGATTTCCACCACTCGCAATATTGCCTTGTTAGGTACTAAGGCTTTGGATGGCAGTCAAGATATAAACTGTAGCATATACTTAGGATTCTGTGAGTCAGACTTCGGTTAGAGCCCGGTATGGATTACTCAACTCCGTGTTTAGACAAGAAACCCACTAGAGTGACTGGGGACGCCACTGGAGCCATACAGTGTCCCAGGATGAATCCGGGACCGAATGGCCAAGACAGTTCCTTCATTCCTTTGTCTGGGACCTCGTCTCTGAAGAGTTAGATATCGTTGGTTACAGATGCAGGGTGAGCATGTCTGATCCTGTCTTCCCTTGTGGCTGGCTTGGGCTTCCTAGTAACAT